ATATATATATATATATATATATATATATTGACATATAGCTAAAGTAGTTGCAACCTTTTAGTCATACATAAATTTGAGAAATCATATATACTAGCAACTAAGAGATTTTTAATTCTTGGTAGTGCTTTTTATAATACATTTTACATGATTCAAAAGGTAAACCTGAGAATCTAAAAATCTATGAAACATATTGAAACTATGTTTGCTGCTAGCTACAAGTACAGCAATTTTTTTATGATTTTTAAGTCTTGTCTATCTAAAAAAATTAAAAAGATGTATGAACCCAGAAATGTACTGCACTTGACATGCTTCAAATCTATCAAACTGATTCCTGACTGTAAACACAAATAAATGGTTGCAATGTAAAGAATCTTGTTATTGGATATTGTAGCCTATAGTTATATAAATATAAAAAATGCCTAAACTGTTGCATCAGAAGACTGAAAGTTTAAAATGTTCATCAAACTAAATATGCTGGTATACAGGTAGAGCTATATGTCTAAGGTAATGGTTTCATTACACATACATGTACAAGTAAACAAGATTAAGGCTAAGTCAGCATTCTTAGTCACTAGAGCCTGTTTTAAACTGAAGTTGGCTCTGTGCCATTCAAAAAATACGCCACTAAGAAAATATATACATAGCAATGCATAATATGATAAGACAGTAAAACATTTATAAATAATTACAATATAATGTCCAAAGCTGGAAAAATATTTTTGATTGTTGTTTTTAAGTACTTTTAAAGTACAAGTTTCAAAAGATTCAAAGCAAATATTTGTATTTCAAATAATACTCATAAAATAAAAAGTGAGATATCTGTAATACATAGTTACACTTGATGCTTTTACTAGTTAAGTATAACAAGACATTTCTCTCAAAACACTGTATCTTGAGGTTATATTTTCATAAAATTAAATCTGAATGTATTATTTTGTTTTGGGGAATTCTTAGGAATTATAAGCTTTTCTTTGTGTGAAAAAATCCAAAATAATATTTTCAAGTAAAAAAATGCAATTTATACAGCAAGAAACAGATAAGACTATTAAAGCTCTATTAAATGTTAAAATATTTAATTGCAACAATATTTGGTACAAACATAAGTTGCAACAAATACCTATAAAACTACACTGGTGAACAGTTTGAAAGTGTAAGCTATCCAACTTTAATTTCAAACATTTAAAATAATAAAATATTTAAATGTATCTTAAATATTTATGATAGTAACCAACCATTTAACCAACTTACATAACCCAATGCAATATGAATTATTATAACTAAAGTATGTAATAAACTCAAATACAACTAATTCAAAACAAAACATCCCACATTTTTATACAGGTGTAGCTGCAATGCTTTATCAACTCAATTTTATGAATGATAAAATATGATTAGTACACATATAACACAACTTGATCAAGTGAATGTTGACAAAGTTAACACATCAATAACTGATTTCATGCAATGCACTTCTCCAAACACATTTTATGAGGATGCTTAAAGAAACTTGTATATGGAAACAATTTTTGTAACCACATATTTTAATGAAGATTTGTAAATAAGAAGAATATGTATATTTATGTACACAGGTTCAGTTTTAGGCACAAAGTTTTAAATACTTATGTGCGTGTACTAAACTTCTGCAGTTCAGAATTTTCAGGAACTTGCATGGTTCCCTAGAAATCTACCCAGTGTTTTTCTAATAACAAAACACAATGAGAAAAATCAAATTGCTTGTCCAACTAGAATAGGATAATAGTAAAAACTTGATGTCCATCAGACAAATCTTCTTGTTCTGGGTAGCTGACAATATGAATTCCACACCTCTGAATACAGTGGTATTGAGAAGTGCAAAATTATTTTTGTTTTGAAATAACACTACATTTTTTCATCAATTTTAAAAGAACATACAAAAAGAATCTTCAAGATAGAAAAGACAGTAAAATAATTCAGGGATTGAATATTATATTCTCGCATTCTTGAGGAGTTTAAATTTGCTTGAGGAATTTCATCTTTTTAGTTGGCTTTCCCAATCGGGAATGTATTGTCCATCCATATTCCTTTAGTTATGACCAATGAAAGTAAACATATTGCATGGATTAAATAAAAAAAAAATTAAATGAGGAAATGCAATATTACATGAAGGAATGTAATCTTCCTGATAGCTGTAATTTTATTTCATAATTTCTATCCCTATAATTATAAATAATATCTGATATAAATTAAGCAATGTACAGCAGAATTAGAAATGAAAATGTATATTAATGCAGCCAGTTCTATAGGAGAAACTAAAAATAACATTATGTCGTAAATCAATGCACAAAAAAACTAAAACCCATGATAATTAGAATACATCAGTGAATCACTAATTTGATACACTTGTTGTTAATGCTTATTCAAGATATTTAAACAGCTTAAAAAAGTTAGATTAGCCCTAAATTCATATACTAACCTAGCAATACAAATAAATTTCCTATGTTTTTAAATTAATTTGTTTTCTAAGCCTTTCCCAGGTCATAGAAATTATTAATTTGGTATGAAAATATTTCATTTTGCTTTTTAGGATTATTTTTTGAGAATATGTTTAATTTTACTTACAGCCTCATTTTATTTTTATGAACTTCAGATAGTTAAAAATTATCAGTAACTTAAAATCTCTCTGCCAAACAATAAGTCCATAATTTCTCAAGAAATAATAATAATAGAACTCCCCAAAATTATTCAATATAAAATTCATTTTTTACTTTTTTAGTGAGGAATTTTCTAAACTGAATACTTAATTCAAAAGTACAATAACAGCAACTTTTTACAGTAGGCAAGTTTTAATTTTAATAATAACGTTTTGATCCCATTGTATTAGTTATCATCAGGTACCTTGATACTGTGGTTGATACATTGTAATTATTAAAATCACAAATTCCCTGCTGTAAAGTTTGCTGTTATTGTATTTTTGAATTAATATAAAATTCATTATTATTATTAATATCTGCTCTAACAGTAACACAGTCAGCAGTTACTGTCAGCTGTTACTAATTTTAGATGTTTATATGTAACGAGTTTAACTTTAAGCAACTCTATGAGTACTAGTACTAAAAATACTCATTAAAATTTTAAAGACTGAACGCATTATCATTACCAAACATCTGCGCATGAAGACTTAAGACCTTATAAAGTTTAACCTCTTGTTAAAAAGGAGAAGAAAAATGTAGCTGTACTACTAGTACTAAGTAGTGGTAACTAACATAAGCCTTTGTAGAGATAACAATAACAATTAACGTTAATTAAGAGTATAATATTATGCCCTACCTTTAGAAACGTCAAACAATTGTAGAGGATTTTGAGAACGACATCCTCCGATTGGCAAATTCAAAACCTTTAAGAATATACTTTCTTTCTTATTCATTTCTATTGCTGCCCGACGTTAACAAATGTATAAATTATAATGTTAGTACTTAGATTTAGATGAAAAAAAATATATATATATATAGCCTAATCATAAAATTTTAAAACTAACATTTTCGCCAAAAAGCCTATAGAACAACCACTAGAGTGCAGGCTGATCAAGCAAACGCTCGTACCCAAAGAAATACTTCCTCATTCTCTTAAACTATTTTTTATTTATTGGATAAACCGAAAATTTAGAATTGAATTTTTAGTGAACTGCACCTGCCTAGTGCTTTCTATGGTAGATATTTCGATTATATAAACCAAAACATTGTCCAGGCATATACAGTCTTTTAGGATTCGAGTATAGTACTACACATTTTCCAAAATCTTTTTTTACAAGAAAAATTTGGAACAGGTTAAGTAACAGTTAATAACATATTTAGACATAAATTTGATCGACGGAAATCGGCCAATAATAAAAGTAAAGAAAAGTGATACAAGAGGCGACATGCAATTCCACTGCAGTCAGTGTGATATGTATGAAAATGAAAATATATATTATATTCGGACAATTTTTCAAAATTTTAGTACAAGTTTTGTATTTATTTACAATATTTCAATTAACAGAATAAGTTATACGCTCATTCTAGCGACTGTCTCCTAGGGCTTGTTTATACGCTATGTAGATAGGTCAAATATTTTCTACCTTCTTTTATTAATATAGGAATTTTAAAAGTTTTTCGTTTAGTCTGTTTCTATGCAGTTATGTCATAAACATGTGATTCAGAAAATAGTTGAAGTTTCCTTATTCTAGTTTTCTTTGTTTTTTATATCAGATAATATCTACTGTACTCGAAGGAATGTTGCGGTACATTTGTGTTGAAAGTCTGTTTGTTTTGAAGTTAAGCACAAAGCTATACAATGGGCTATCTGTGCTGTGCCCACGACGAGTATCGAAACCCGGTTTCTAGCGTTGTAAGTCCGCAGACATACCGCTGTGCCACTGGGGGCTGTGTTAGTTTGTTTTAATTTCGCGCAAAGCTACACGAGGGTTATCTGCGCAGTGAAAGACTAGAGGGAAAACAGCTAGTCATCACCACCCACCGCCAACTCTTGGACTACTCTGTTACCAATGGATTGTGGGATTGCCCAACACATTATAACGCCCCATAGCTGAAAGGGCGAGCATGTTTGGTGGGACTGGGATTCGAACTCGCGACCCTCAGATTACGAGTCGAGAACCCTAACCACCTGACCATGCCAGGCCCATTGAAAGGGTGAAGGACTATAATGTCCTTTGCTGGCAGAGTGAATTATGTTTGTATGTCACAGCCAACGAGCACTGTGAAAGAATGACCAGTCACGTGATAACAATATTACAAAACAAAGAAATCGAGTTTTCCTGCATCGACACAGAGCTTAACTACTTCAGAGTTCTACATGGCTATCATTTTGTTTAGTTTACAGAGGCTCTGCTAAAAAAGATGGAAAGCTGTTGATATATTTGTTACGTCTCCTTTCGTTAATTAACTTTCCGTAACTTCGTTCCGACGAAACTTTAGCGACACAAATCCTTACTTAATAAAACTGGTTTATTCTTTCCGAATACAACTTTACGATACACTTATTTTCAACAATCACGCTAAAACAAACGCTATATCAACGAACGTCAACAGTACTTCTGACTGCAGTTCAATTACTCACTATCTACACACACATTACCTTCTTCCGTCACGTTGTCACCCTCTTTTATATACCCGACTACCCTATATCTAGTAAATACTAGAGCATTCGCCAAGGTAAAGGATAGTTCTAGAAACGTGGCGTCACAGTAGTCATGTGACTCGCTGACGCAACACTGCCCCTTCCTTAGTATTGTTCGT